CAGACGCGAAACCGGGAAATCCCCAAATCGCAACCATCGCGGACCCCACGCAAGTGCCGCAACAGGGCCATCGCAGGCCATCGCAGAAGTTGAGCTTGTCTCAACTTTTGCGATGCGATGCGACACGCGATTTGGCGTACGATTTTGACCTTTTCTACAGCAAAGTTGTACAAAGGTTCAAGAGTTGACTATAAATTTGTACAAGTTGTATCAAACCGCGCGAATATCATGGTGACGTAGCCAAATCAGCAAGATGTTGTCGCATCACTGACTTCTTCTGTGAATGGTATTTCGCGAGTTCGCATCGCACGCGTCCGTCACAGATCGCGTCGCATCGCGTGTCGCATCGCAAAAAAGCTTCTGTGAATCCCGCTTTATGCCCCTTAGCATAATTTTTGTCTAAACAGAAAGATTATGCCGACCTTACACGTTGGAATCCAAATTATTATGCCGGAGCATAATTTTTTGACGAAATCCCAAGATTATGCAAAATATTTTTATTTTTTTATTTTATTTTTTTTATGCCAGCATAATCCGCCAAGGGCTACTGGAGCCCACAAAAGCACATTGGATGAAAAACAAGAAAAAACACTGACAATACTTACTTTCCTGATGAGCTGAACAATCCGTATATACTTCGAAGTAAGTATTTTACTGTTGGAAGAAAATAGGAAAGTTATTCTGTCCTAGAAAATATCTTTTCCACTACATTTTGTACATATGTACATTTTGATCATATGCCCCATTCAACAGCACTGGTGCTGACCTTTTGCTCCAGGAAATTTGAAATTTATCTTCTCTTTGTAGAGCACTGCGGGTTCATTGATCAGCTCTGACACAGCCTGGATCATGGGAGTCACACAACAATATGAAAACACAGCATAAAGCCGAAATATAATCTATAGTGATCAGATTGAAACACCGCCAGCCGCCAGCTATACAGCCATATCAACTAAGTGCTTCAAGGAAACTGTTGTTGTTGCACAGGTTCTAGCCAGGTCAAAATAGTAGGGGGTGGGCATGGGAAACAGTTAGCCCGTATCCCATTTTCCACTTTCCAATAAATTATTGTTTTGCTACGCTAAATGCAACGTATGGGGCGAATCCCCCACTTCGCCACAGACAATTTAATGTGCCTCTATTAACCATCTGATATTTATATTCAACTGCATTTTCGCTGAATTCCATAAAACAGCCCTTCTACCTCCATTTTGCCTAGAACCCTGTTGCATTTAGAATTGCACTGGGGCAATCCCCACAAACAGTAAATCGTCTTCCAGGATGCTCTATTCTTCTCAAATCACTGATAGATAATTCTTTGTCATATGAAGACTATAGATCAAATTCAAAGCAAAATCAGAACGCTTTCAAAGAACGTTCTTGCTCAAAGTGTGCCATTCTTGTTTCAAGTATCATGCAAAGCACATGAACAAGGTAACATTAATTTCAATCTCATTCACTGGATTTTGCTGTTCCCTTCTTTTGAAGAAGCAAAATAATATCTTCAAGTACAGTATATCACTTTCTTGAAGCACCCACATCAGTGCTAGGAGGTCGAAAAGCAGAAAAGAGGCAACAGGACTGTTGCAGGAGGAAGCACATTAGAGGTACATGCATATGCAATATGCAATGGCCTGTGAACCCATCATAAACACGCTTGTATGACTATCATTATGACCATGCCTGAAGAGCGCTACATTGTACGCAACATTCCGACAGTAGAAACGTTCCTTCAGGACGACATTCAGTAACTCTGAGTCCGATTGTTGTCTGGATAATGGCGAAAGACAGTTCAAGGCAGGTTGTTTTCATTGTTCCTATAACTGTCCCTCGCATCATGTTTCCATCATTGTTCTTTCTACCTCCATCGCCATTTTCTCCCAACTTCGTTCGACACAAACTCAACGAGAGAGCTTGGAAGCTCAGGGCCCTACGCTATGCTTTTTTGCCTTGATGACCAAGACAAAAAAGGATAGGGATGTTATAAATTGTTATAAGTTTCTACTTTTTGTTTTTAGACATACCCTGGGATTCGAACCTGCACTATCGCCCTGCATGCATCCACCGATACACTTCGCATACATACTAATTGTTCCAAGTTGCTTCACGTTATGATCTTGTATTTGAAAGCCCTATTTGAATATGCATTGTGGCAAGCCGTTTTTGAATGAACGGTACGGGATAGGTACGGGATAGGTACGGGCCAGGTTCGGGACAGGTACGGGACATGTACGGGACAGGTACGGTCGAGGGTAATACGAGTCTGCAGCCTTGATGACGGCAAAAAAGGGATGTTATAAATTTTTCAATTCTCCTTTTTTTCAGGCATTACCTGGGATTTGAACCCGAACTATCGCCCCACATGCATTCCCCCATACACTTCGCATTCATACTCATTCTTCCAAGTTGCTTCACGTTATGATCTTGCGTTTGAAAGCCCTATTTGAATATTGCGGCCAGCTGTATGTGGCCAGCTGTGTTTGATGGTACAGTACGGTACGGGACAGATACGGGATAGCGCCGGGCGTGACACAAACACACAAACACACAAACAAACACCAAATTAAAGCTGTGTGGACCCTGGCTAGCGCCAGACGTTACTGAAGTAACGTCTTCTGCATAGCTACGGGAATAAAGTCATGGTGTTATGTTGCTGGTTCTGTTCATTGCGATTCCTAAACTACTGTCACCTCACCGACTTTTCGAAAATTGTTTTCACGCAATAAGCTTTAGGGAGGGAGGAAAATTGATTGTGTTTTGTAAGCTTTAGGATGGAAATAAACAGAATTAGCTGAAGCGTCATGATACGAAGGTTTTATTGAGATGTCACGAACAAATTCTATTCGTAACATGACGCTTCAGCTGATTCTGTTTACTACCATCGTAAAACTTTTGTCACCTCCCCGCCTGTTTACTTGAAGTATTTCTTAAGTTTCATGTTTTTGCGGTTACCTGATAATGGATTTAAAAACCCATTATCAGGTAACCTCTCTACATGTATTGTAAGACTGTACTCACTCGCAGGTAGCTCATCATACCTCTGTGATCTTTCCGCGTACAAACTGGTCCATGGATCGGTGGTACTGAAGGAAGTTTTCAATGCGACACAAAACTGGGTCACTGCTGGATCCGGCTTCAAAATACTGCGTCCATTTCCCTACAAAAGGCACACGAAACAATGGGACAAAAATTCAATTATTGTGAAAAGCCTCTGACCAGACAACACTTTTGGTCTCATTTATCGCAGAGCACAACCTGTCCAGCTTCAGAAAAGATCTTCAAGTTGACCACCGGCCTAGAGAGTAGAGTGGCCTGTCAGAGTTTTCATCTGTGACCAATCGATTGTCAGCACATATTTCTCAATGAGAGAATCAAAAAATTACGTTTCCTTTGCAGGCTGAAATTTTCGTAGATAGATGGAATTGTTGCTGTGCACAATCTCCAGACGGCTAGCTGTTTCGACCTTGAGAGGTCTCGTCAGCGGGGTTCAGAGTTACTGGCTGAACCGATCTCAATGAAACTTGAACAACAAATCATTCTAAACCGACCCACAGCATCAAAGCCAGAGTACTGAACCTACAATGAACACTGTGAGTGCATAACGACTCGATAATAGACTGCTACAACAAAACCCGGAGGCTATTGTGCTTTCATTGATAGTTGTCCAACCAAACAGGAAAATAACACTGCAGAGACAACTAGAAATATTGATGAAGGGACCTGCGGAGAGTAAGATCAATATGTCCAAATAGAGAGAGACAGAGATAGATAGATAGATAGATAAAATTATAGATAGAAAGATAGATAGATAGCTCCTGCTCTTGTAGCAGTTGAGCACTCTTGCGTGGGGTAGTGCCTTTGCTGTTTGCATTATGCAGAGCTCATTGACTTGTCAGTTTGAGTACTCTGGCAAGGTACGTTCGGGCCTGGTTTAAATCTGGCTTTGGAACATTTATTTTTCATTGCTACCAGGTTCGGCCTCATTTCCTCTGTGCTGCGCTGACGAGTCCACCAAGGACGACCCAGTTCTGTCCACATATTGAGTAGATAGATAAATAGATAGAGGGAACGAGGGAAAGAGAGAGAGAGACAGAGATACAGAGAGAGGCAGAGAAAGAGAGAGAGAGAGAGAGAGAGAGAGAGAGAAAGAGAGAGAGAAAGAGACATCGCTGATTATTCGTTGAATGTACATGGACCTTGATCAGGAAAGGACTTTTGAACATTTCCAAATTGTTCATTGCATTGAATTTACGGACAGCTAGCCGTTTCGATCTTGTTAGATCTCGTCAGCGGAGCTCAGAGTTATTGGCCGACTTGATCGCAGGGAAGTCTAATGAACGGCACCAAAGACGTTTTTACTGGCTCAACGTACTGGCTCAGCGTTTATGGATATTCAAACATACTGTTCTCCATGGTACTGGCGTTTGGAGTGAGTAGAGTGAGATTAAATCCATGAAATGTATGTGTGCGTGGGTAGTGGGTGCACTGCTTAGGTGGACATACAAATCCCCCTTCTGTGAGGTTGCCACATTGTCTGAAGACCGATCCACTCAGTTCAGGCCATAGTGAGTAAGGTTTGTCAAATGCTTGCCTTGCCTATCAGGCTTCTCCACAGAGCAAGTTCTAATAATAATATTCCAGCCGCCACAATATGTCACACACCTACATGTAGATGTACATGTAGCTCAGCGATGTCTGCCTATGTCAAGCAATACAGTCATATCACCACCAGTAGTCTCAAGGTATCTCATGGCTTGGAATCATCTGGAAAGAGCATGTTGTATGTGCTTGAGTCTGCCTGAATGGTCCAGGACTTTATAGGAAGTGCATAATGGATATGCACTGGAATTCAATAGGTCATATTGGAAGCATCAGGAAATTCACTTATGTCAATGGAAAGCCCAGACCTGCAATAGCTAGCACTAAGTGAGAATGAGATTAAACCAGAGTCCATAGTCATTAAGGGCATTTCATAATACAATTTTCCAAGTGCAGTGCATTGTTTCGATAGAGCTTTGCTGTTGTCACGCAAGTAAGTGCACTGGGCATTGGACATTGCGCCACCCACTCCATACATACCATCTCAGAAAGGTACATACATTGGTCACACTAAGTCTTAGATATCCACTCAATGCATCAAGTGCCACTTCACATTATAATGTAATATTACTAGCAGCATTCAAAAGCCTACATCTGCTGATACAGCTGCACACCTGTACTGTAGCAATGCCTATATCTAGTCTTGACATAAGACTTATGTCAAGACTAGATCTAGAATATCAGCAGTGGAGTCTGCACACTCCCTGCCAAAAAACACCCTTTTTATTATAACTCAGATAGTGAGCCAAGGAAAATTCTTGTCAGTTCTGTGCTAGATTGTGCACGTCCGACTGTGCACGTCCGACTGTTCACAATCTGGTTTAGTTGGTGGACTTCATTGCAAACTAACTTGTGCCCGCATTTTTCCATGATACAACTTTTTATTATTTATAGGCTACATCATTGTACATGTTTGAGACACCAAATGTTTGACTATGATCAATGCCATGCAGCATACTGGACATGCATACTGGACATGATGACAGGGGCCCTGTAGACTTGTAGTATTCCCTGGTAACTGCCTGTGTGCATATACATGTACATGTACATGTGTATATGCACAGGTATACCTTCACATCCGCAGTAGAGAGCACGCGTTCATGACATTGTAAGGCACACCACATTGTAACAATGTACTGTGACCAAAATCAGAAATGTCATGACGAAGTTTATCCTGCCAAAACGTTCGTTTGGACTAGCAGATCAAGCACACAGATACCTCTTTTGCAAGGCTGTATGATACCTTCAAACAATAACTACAAGTCCATTTGCGTTTCTTGTATACCTGGCTACTCAAGCTTCATTTCTGTCCGCCCATGACCCAAACAGGATCCCAGACAATCATGACCAGCAGTGGTCTTCTCTCATGCCATGCCCTTACTGCCTTAGACTACATGCACGAGTATGATGGACAATGCAAGCACTCCATAGGTCTGCGTAGCCACAGTGTATGGTTCTGCAGAAGGGAATCTCGTTAGGGACACACACACACACACACACACACACACACACACACACACACTATGTACCATGTACATGTATGCTTCCGTCGCAAGAGAAGCACGCAAATCTGCAAATGCACTGGATGCGCACCCACAGATTTTCTCTTATACTTATAGTAACGATAGCGGACAAGATCTGAATGATACAGATCAAGACTAGCGCCTGATAACTGCCCAATAGGGCTTGAAAGTGATGACGTCAAAACGGCCAGGGAGTAGTAAGTTGTCATCAGATTTCTATTTTTGGATCCACTAAGGTGTGACTTTGCTATTGCCTAAGTATGTGGGTGCATAGCAACCCACTCATGTCGCATGCAGGTGTGACTTTTATTTCGCCACCAGTTGTAACCCCGCCCCCAGTAGCCAAATCAGTCAGTTTCACTGGTTACATCACCTTGCTGTGAGTAAGACGGCTTGAAATGTGCTTGGATCCATACAAAAACTGGATCCAAGTGGATCCAATTTTTGAATTTTTGAAATTGTTGCTATGCTGTGACGTAGCACTTTCAAGCCCTATCCGCACAACCTGCGAAGTCATATGAATCGACGACCAATGCACTTATAGACACACACACACACATACACACACACACATACACACACACACATACACACACACACACACACACACACACACACACACAATTACACACACACACACACACATACACACACACACACATACATACACACATACACACACACACACACACACACACACACACTGTACAGGACCGGCGGAACCTGTCTGCTTGGTCAGGCCATGGCCGGACCAACCTTTAGACCTCCAACGTACATGTAGATCTATGTTCACTGCGTTTGTATACCCGCCATATCATACACAAAGTATGAAACTTGAAAGACTAGGGTGTGGCTGGACCAATCGAAAACTGCTTCCCCCGGTCATGGCACACACACACACAAACCATACCTTTGGATAGATGCCACTTGCTCAGTTCAGTAGCCCACCGGACTACGCTCTCCTTCTCTCTTTCGTCGAGAAAATCCGATGGAGCTACCACATAACCATTGCTGTTGAAGTGTTCAATTTGCTCTCTACTGAAAAAGGATTGAAAATGCGGCTTGGACGCGATGCTTGAGGATGCCGCGGCATATGTATGGCCAAGTGTCAAGTATCTAGCTGAACGCTTGACACCTCCAAGCGTCATTGACAGCAGTGCTGTAGGACGACGAACCACTCCCGATATCATAGTAATATTTGCCAGACAGAATGTACTGTCAGGTAGTTTAGTTCACAAAAGTCAACAAACAACTCGACGAACAAGGGGAAAGTGCAGTTTGATGTCGCGGATCAACGTTCGCTCGCTTTTCTAGCGATTCCCGGAGCACTGCTGTGAAACGAAAAGCTCTATTCACTACATACATGTACATGATTGTGCATGTGCATGACTGTGCAATGCAGTCAGCAGCTGATGACAGCAAGAGTACAATACGTCATAAACCAGAGTGTGCAACTCGGGATGGTCCCTGTGGGAGGGTGCAGTACGTCATTTCGGACGGCATGGTAGCGCGCCGCTAGGTACGGTGAAAAGTAATAGTTGCGTAACCAGTCACAGTGGTGCAGGTCACTGAGTTTGTCCTGATTTTGGTTTTTGATACGGATAGCATGGTGAATTTACTTGCCAGCAGGGAGTCGTAAAATACCGTTTTACGACTCCCTGCTTGCCAGCGCATGTACCCAGCGTACGCAGTCACACAAAACACCGAAATCCTAAAACAGGACGTCTAAATCATGCAAACTTGGCTGATTTGCTGACTGTGAAGCACGAAAATTTGAGCCGTACGCAAGTCACAGGTTGGCTGACCTCATCAGGCGATTCAGGATGACGTAGTGCACGCACTGCGCTGTACTGTTTCAGATCTGATATGGTTCAGTTATGTAGTTCAAGGTTTAGTTGAAGAGTGAAGGCTGTAACTAGTAGTACTAGTAGTAGTACTTGTAGTACAATATCTCAGACCGGCACGTGAGAGAACTGTAACGAGTTACGTAATACTGCCCTCCTATCCGAGCCTGGCGCCGGCCTGTGATTCAGTGAATAGGGCTTGAAAGTGATGACGTCAAAAACGGCTTGGGAGTAGTAAGTCGACATCAGATTTCAATTTTGGATCCACTAAGGTCCAGTAAGGACTTACAACGTACATGTAGGTGTGACTTTGCTATTGCCTCAGACCAGTATGTGGGTACATAGCAACCCACTCATGTCGTACGCAGGTGCGACTTTTATGCTCCAGTCCTGCGCAGGTATGTGTGGTAGGAAACGTGGTAGTCTACACTGTTCATTTCGCCGTGGTCCGCATTGGTGGTACTCATTCAGCAGCAGCTCAGGACAACAAGGGATAGCACATGGCGTAGGACACACAATCATAATGACACAGTCAGCAGAAAGCTGCACGAGAGCGATGCAGCTTGTAGCAGTTCAGTAAAAAGAAGTACAATGCCATGTTATAATAATTATTATTATTATCAACGTCGAGCAGATCCAGTACCTCCAATCCGAGATCCAGTACCTCCAATCCGAGTTCGACTGGATGATCCCAACGAAAGTAGATGACTTGTGTAGTTGCTTCCAAGGCAAGTGTTCAAGTGAGTCAAGATACATTGACGACTATGGTCAATGTACGCTTGGACTTGTGCTGCCACGAGCCTCCTCTCGATTTGGTTATTCCTCTCTTTCTTATTTAGCTGCTGACCGCTGGAACTCAGTTCCGGCATCGGTCCGCCTTGCTGCTTCACCAAGTCAATTTCGTATCGCAATCCTAGCTAGGGTACCCCGTAAGGAGACCATAGGTCTGTGGGGACTGCCCTAGAGAAATATGAATAAATACTATACTATACTATACTATGTCCTGTACTATCACGGTCAGTAGTACATTGTGTGTGATCAAACTCAAAGACTATTGGAGTAATGTACTAGCACATGGAGTGTTTAGTTCCGAAGATGCTCATTACAGTAGGCCGTCACAGCTGGGACGGCTGAGGCCACACGTTTTTTGTTTGTTTAGGTCGATATTGATCGCAGTTTTCCTGTTGTCATAAAGCTAGGATAGTATCATTTGCATAGGTGTTTATTCTCAATTCATTTCTCTTTATTAGTACCTTTCTTGAATGTTTTTCATTAGTACAACGTAATTTCCTGAAAACTAGTTCAAAGTATTTTTTTCATCATTTCTTCTATACCACAGCTGTTTCTTCTTCCCTGTTCTTCACCGTCTTCGTATCCACTCGTTTTGAACACAATAATGCTTTTTTGAAATGACTGTTCGGCTCGTTCCGTTTATAGCAATTCTAAAACTATTGTCGCCTCGTCGCTTATTTACAAAACTCACATGATGCGCGTGCAGCACGTCTAAAAAGTTAAAATAGCCGATCGTAGTCATGGGCAGATAAACAAGAAAGAAAAACAGGAACGGAGTATTGCAAGTCGGGCATGATAACACCCAACTAGTAGGCTCGATTTCCATGAAGCGAAAGCGTTCGCAAATGCCGATGGAGGACACCAATTTTGCGAGAGACCATGGAAATTACTGCATCACATGAGCATGGAATGACAGGCCATTGTCAATCGTCACAGCCAGGCACCTTGTACGTTCCACTTGGTCAATGATTGTGCCACCAATAGGGACCGGCGGATTCTGCTCGAAAAGGTGGCAGATTCTGCTCGAAAAGCAGTAAAATTGGCAGAACCATACAAACCTTATGGCGGGCAATTCCTCGAATTCTGCTCCGTTTCTTTATCCACATACCAAACATGCATGAAACTTACCAGAAAAAGTACCGAATTCTGCCATTTTCTGCCGGCAGAATCCGCTGGACCCTAGCCACCAAGCGTTTTTATGCTGGGAGATCAGTACAGGTAGAATGATGGGGCAAGATAATCAAGGCTACTGTTTTGGTAATGGTAACACTGATGCCAAGTGACTGTAGCTCCTGCTGTAGAGGGTCAAGGGCTACTAACAGCTGAGAGCCAGCATCTCTTTGTTCGTGCCTGATGGAGTTTGTCGTCAGCAAACATCAGCAATATCTGAATTTTTCCCAACGTACATGTAAACTTCCTTGTTTAGACCATGTCTTTGTTGCTGATCCACCACACCACCACGCGACGCTCTCTACTTCCTTGTTCAGGCACCACTGACTTTATACTTCTGCGGCTCTTTTGCCCCTTTTCTTCTGATTTGTGCTGTTTTGGTTCTGATACAGTGATGCTTTCCCCTTGTTTTCACAGCATGTTATTTGTTATCCTCCTGCCTTTGTTGTCCAGCACAATCGAAGAAGTGGACCTATCGGTCGACTTCAACGCGAAAATGCACATAATGATAATAAATAAACATCAGCAATTTGCAACGGGCTTGTGTGGCTGTTTCGGGCGGGTGTCTCAGGTATACATTAAATAAATAGGAAGGGACCCAGAATACTCCCTTGTGGAACTCCATGAGTCACCGGCAAAGGCCTACAGGTGTCGAGTGCTGTAACCACTCGTTGCGTACGAGCAGAAAGATAAGACGCTGTCACGCAAACCAATGCAGTGCTGAACCTTAACCAGTGATTCCAAGGTGGTGTAGACTATGCAACAGTTGTTGATGGAGCACCCGGTCGAACGCGTTTCGTAGATCTATGAAGGTAATTGCTGTGGTGTTACCACTAGCCCTTTCCCAAAGGTGCTCGCCACTTTTTTCGCAACTTTTCGTTGTTTAGGAAGAAATCGCAACCTTCGCAACTTTCGCAACTTTCTTCATTTTCGCGAACTATTTCGCAACTTTTCCGCAACCTTAGCGCAATTGGCGCCATGGCATGGGGTCAAAAGGTCAAGTCACCGACTCACCGACTACATGTCGGATAAATGCATACTCGTACTCGCTCATTTCTCGCCTGCCTCCAGACTGATTGCAGAGAAACAGTAGATCAACGGTAGTTGTGATAAAGTGCACTGAAGTAATAGTTCCCTTTTCCTTGCACTGGATCGATGTCCATGTAGGATACATGCAACAGGTTACTGGCACTGTGTAAAGTGGTGGTTCCCAGCAGGAAGGGGTGTAGATCTACGAGTTTGCTGTCGATGCACTTCTGCTATTTCTGCTCCCATTTTTTGTAGGTTTTTGCACAAGAACTCTCCAATTTTAGGTTGCGATATTAGCAACTTTTGAGCTTTTTCTGAAAATATGGATGCAATTTCAGCAACTAGCACCTGCTTTGGCACGGTTGCGAAAAGCATAAGTTGCGAAAAATTATGGCATCTTTGGGAAAGGGCTAGTTACCGCTGTCATGAGACAAAATCCAATCAATTACGGCCAAGTTGAGGAGTTGTGTTGCTGAGCGACAAGGTCTAAACCCAACCTGATGGTCATGAAGGACCTTGGAGTCTGGGAGCTGAGCAGAAATTTGGCGTAGTACAACCTTCTCTAACAATTTGCTCGGGAGTGAGGTGAGCGAAACCGGTCTATAGTTCCTTGGAGAGTGTGGGAGGGAGAGAGGGAGGAAGGGAGAGAGAGAGAGAGGGAGGGAGAGAGAGAGACACAGAGAGAGACAGAGACAGAGAGAGACAGAGACAGAGAGAGATAGAGGCAGAGACAGAAACAGAGACAGATACAGATACAGAGAAAGAGAGAGAGAGAGAGAGAGAGAGAGAGAGAGAGAGAGAGAGAGAGAGAGAGAGAGAGAGAGAGAGAGAGAAAGAGAAAGAGAGAGACAGAGACAGAGAGAGGGACAGAGAGACAGAGGCAGAGAGAGAAAGAGAAAGAGAGACAGACAGGCAGACAGACAGAGAGAGGGAGAGAGAGAGAGAGAGAGAGAGAGAGAGAGAGAGAGAGAGAGAGAGAGAGAGAGAGAGAGAGAGAGAGAGAGAGAGAGAGAGAGAGAGAGAGAGAGCGAGAGAGAGAGATACAGAGTGATACCCAAAGAGAAAGAGAGAGAGAGAGAGAGAGAGAGAGAGAGAGAGAGAGAGAGAGAGAAAGAGAGAGACAGAGACAGAGAGACAGATACAGATGCACACAGAGAGAAAGAGAGACAGAGAGATAGAGAGGGACAAATAAAGAGAGAGAGAGAGAGAGAGAGAGAGACAGAGAGAGACAGAGAGAAAGAGAGAGACAGAGAGACGGAGAGAGACAGAGAGAGAGAGAGAGAGAGAGAGAGAGAGAGAGAGAGAGAGAGAGAGAGAGAGAGAGAGAGAGAGAGAGAGAGAGAGAGAGAGAGAGAGAGAGAGAGAGAGAGAGAGAGAGAGAGAGAGAGAGAGAGAGAGAGAGGGGCAGAGAGAGAGAAACAGAGGCAGAGAGAGAAAGAGAGAGAGAGAGACAGACAGACAGAGAGGGACAGAGAAAGAGAGAGAGAGAGGGAGAGAGAGGGAGAGAGAGAGAGACAGACAGAGAGAGAGAGAGACAGAGAGA